TTGCAAATTGTAGCCTCATTTTCCTATTTGTAGTGGAGATGATTGGTACCCGGTGGGGTCTTCTGCTGTTGTAGCCCATCCGCCTCAAGGTTGTGCGTGTTGTGGCTTCACAAATGCTTATCTGCATACCTCGGTTGTAACGAGTGGTCATTTCAGTCAAAGTTGCTCTTCTATCAGCTTGAATCAGTCGGCCCATTTTCCTCTGACCTCAAGCATCAACATGTCATTTTTACCGTGACAAACCAATCCTCGGATTGAATTTGACTCACGATTGTGGGAATAGTGAGCATCTTGAACCTCAATCTCCTCAGAGAATGGTTCAGGTGCCTGAGATCTATTATTGGACGCAACTCCCCATCCTTCTTGGGAACTATGAAGTAGCGGCTGTAAAACCCGGACTCCCTGTCTAGTGGAGGAATATATTCTATAGCCTCTTTTGCCAGCAGGGAGTTTACTTCCTGTTCCAATACCCGACCCTGCACTGGGTCGACTACAGTCCAGACCACCCCGTTGAATCTGGGTGGGCGGAAACCTAACTGCAGCCTGTACCCATTTTGAATGGTGCGCAGGGACCAAGGGGAAATATCCGTCAGATTTTTCCATGCATGGAAATATCTTACCAAGAGAACCAGCCTCTAGAGCCTGGCTTCGGGTATTAATCAGGATTCGTTCTTGACCCCCTGAAGCGGATTCCTGGCAGGACTGAACCAAAAACGATTCTCGATGGGTGAACATGAATACTGCCTGGCCGCAAGCCTGTGGGGCGGACAGTGCAGCCTGCATTCGCTGGAACAACAGCGGGAGAGCAACATCGATTTCTTGCGGGCTCCACGAAGGAGGCGACCTCGGTCGTTCCACCACGGGTGGGGCAGCCCGCAGAGTACCTAGACCAGCTAGGATCTCTGAGAGCACCGTCTATGCCCCCAGGCTCCTTGAGGGGGGGGGGGGGGGGCTCTAAACGAGACGCTCTCTTTTTGGGCCTGTCTGTAGGCGGAGGAGCTGGTGGATGGCTGTGGCTGCCCAGACATCGAGCGGCGAGGGAGATATTGCTTGAAGGCCGCCGACTGTTTCTTTGCCTCCTGAAAACTGTCGACGACTGTATTTACGGCGTCGCCGAACAGGCCAGAAGGCGAAATCGGGGCATCAAGGAGGAAAGCCCTGTCTTTCTCTTTGATGCACGACCGATTTAATTATAGATGTCTCTCCAACACCACCATCGGCACCATGGAGCGGCCGATTGCGCGGGCCGTCTCCTTGGTGACACGGAGAGACAAGTCAGTAATACACTTGATTAGCTCTACCAAACGTGGATGTTTTTCCACTAAGAAACGAACATTGTTATTATGTTTTTATTGATACAGTGAAGCTGCTTTGATGCAATCTATATTGTAAAATACGCTATATAAATATACTTGTCTTGGCAATATTTTCATATAAGTATGTGGCTGTTTGTGATTTTTTTGCTAATATTATGACAGTTTGTGATGTTTTGCTAAGTATATGACAGTTTGTGATGTTTTGCTAAGTATATGACTGTTTGTGGCGGTTTACCCTAACTACTTGTCTTGCTGGTTACACTATATTGATATTGATTTGATCTTTAAAAAGAATAAACAGGTTTCCTGGCATTTAGGCAAAGACAGGTGTTATCTGAAACCTTATTGTCTGTTGGGTTCCATCGAGACTATTAGTTTGTGTAATGCTACACTTTGTGTTATATCTGCTTCCCAACTTCATTTTTGGAATAAAGCAGTGTATGCAGGCTATAAAGGAGAAGGTTTTTTTTCTCCTCTACAACCTTTACTTCTCTATAGATTACTTTTACCTGCATATCCACAATTCAGTATTTGGATAGGCAGGTCTTTAAAAGATCAGATGGGGCCCCATACATACCTTCGCCTTAGGCCCTCAATTTTCTAAATCCGCCACTGACAGCCCTGACATTAAAGAAGTAGTATTTGCATGATAGTAAGCTATATTCCATACATATCCAAAGACATTAAAATGTATATTATAAACTACTGCATAAACAGAAATGGGGGGGAGGGACTTCCAACAGTTCACAATCATGTACACCTGACCCGAGGGCCACAGAGACAATACACCATATATTTAGCAGAGTGAAGCATTTCCCTCTTTCCACAAACAGGATGTCTTGTCACCCCCCATGGCAAATTCTCCTTCCTGTGTCTGACAGGGTGTTCTTGGCCCAGACTGCACCAAATCACAGTGCTCCAGTCAACACTAATATAATCAGACAATCTTAAAGGGATAGTTAACCCAAAAATCTGGCTCTATCTTAAGTTTATCAAGGGACAAGAATACTTATTGTGCAAAAAAACAAACATAAATAATGACCTTTATTCAACTATTTATTTCCTTCTGTGTGGTGTAACAGCGCAGCGCTTCTGTGTTGTACGTCAAATGTAGGATCATTATTGCCCGACGCTAGTCATGTGTGTGATGCGTGTGACGTACGAAGCGCTGCGCTGTTATACTAAAGATTAAAGATTTAATAAAGTCATTATTTTTGTTTTGTTTTCACATAAAAAGTATTCTCGTCGCTTGATAAATTTAAGATTGAGCCACTGTAGTCACTTGGACTATTTTAACAATGTCTTTAGTAACTTTTCTGGGCCGGCAAATTTCAATCCCTTAGAAGCCTATGGAGGAGAGATCTAGCACTCAGTTTTAAAAATATAAACAAATATCTTAATTTGTGTTCTGCAGATAAATTAAAGACTTATGGGTTTGGAACAACACGAAGGTGAGTAATTACTGACAGAAAATTATTATAATTATAACAAAAACTAAATGATGACATAAGACACAATTATTACAAAAAAGTAGAAAATTATTGTTAAACTAGTTAAAACTATGAATTTAACTTGTAAAAATTTGAAATTATTACATAAAAGATTTAAATTATGACCAATGCAACATTATTACACAAACTCATAATTATGAGATAAAAAATGTAAATTATAAAATAAAGTCAATTTCACCAAAGTCATCATTCTCAATCTCATCATTTTGACTTTTTATGTCATAACTTAAACTTTGTACGTCATTATAATGACTTTTTATCTCATAACTATGACTTGGTAGGTCATTTTTCTTATGTGCCAGAAATTGGCCTATAAAAGAGATGTGAGTTGGAAGGAGTTAAACAGTTTAATGAAGCTGTAAACTGTCACTTCATCTTAAATACTGTAGTAGGCCTTTGACTTGCCTTTTTATTTTATTTTACTTTATTTATTTATTTATTTATTTATTTTTTAGATTAATGGGTGAAATAGTGGGTCACCTTTAGAATAGAACACAAAGCTGCATCATGGCACTATGGGAACGCTTCTGCATGACCAGTGTCTGAAGAATGTGTGAAAAAATGCCCATCTTGATTGGTTGAAGCGAGGCCAAGTGATGTAGCATATCGTTTTTGTTTTATCGAATGTTTTAGACAGTATGGCCAGAAAAAATTGCCTTTTTTATTGGCTTCCTTACTTCACCTGGGGTGTAGCATCTTCCAAGGCACTATCCATAATGCATCCTCGCAACATGCTTGTGCTGCGGCCACACATTCATAAGATTTAACAGCCTGGACATGGATTCAATCCGAGGATGCCCTTCTGGGTTGGTCCAGTCTCTCTGCTCAACAAATGTCTGTGTCACAACCTTGATGGGTAGACATTTTCCCTGGTGGCATTGGTATTAAAGGATTAATTCACTTTTGAAAAAACTTTTGCTGCTAATTTACTCACCCCCATGTCATCCAAGATGTCCATGTCTTTCTTTCCTCAGTCGAAAAGAAATTAAGGTTTTTGATGAAAACATTCCAGGATTTTTCTCCATATAATGGACTTACATGGGAACCAGAAGGTCGGAGGTCCAAACAACAGTTAATAACAGTTTCAGATGCAGCTTCAAATGTCTTTAAACGACACCAGACGATGAATAAGGGTCTTATCATGCGAAACGATTGGTTATTTCAAAACTTATTCCAAAATGTAACCTTTCTAACGACAAATGCTAGCATTGCTCCATTCTGTGAGGCGCGTTTGTAACGTCACGTAATACGTAATTACGTTCAAAAGGTCACGGGCGACGAGTGTTTACAAGTTGAACGCATAGGTTGAACGTGCAAACTAACTCAAACGCCGTTTACAAAAAAAGAATTAAAAGGTAAAACAACGATGTCGGACGATTTTGATTCTGTACTTCCGGCTACGTCGCCCGTGACCTTTTGAACGTAATTACGTATTACGTGACGCTGCAAACGAGCCTCACAGAATACAGCAAGGCTAGCATTTGTCCTTAGAAAAGTTACATTTTTAAAAATAAGTTTTGAAATAACCGATCGTTTCGAATGATAAGACCCTTATTCATCGTCTGGTGTCGTTTAAAGACATTTGAAGCTGCATCTGAAACTGTTATTAACTGTCGTTTGGACCTTGGACCGTCTGGTTCCCATGTAAGTCCATTATATGGAGAAAAATCCTGGAATGTTTTCATCAAAAACCTTCATTTCTTTTCGACTGAGGAAAGAAAGACATGGACATCTTGGATGACATGGGGGTGAGTAAATTATCAGCAAAAGTTTTTTCAAAAGTGAACTAATCCTTTAACTTTCCCATAGCATCAACTCCATAACGCAGCGTCAACTTACATATGAAACCCTGCTCCTTGAGAAGGGAACAAGACGCTGTCACACTGAGGATTCCATGGCGTAAGGGCCCTTTTATGGTCTTGCTGACGCGCTACACTACGTCACCTGTCCTCACGTCAGCTAATCAAGATTGCAGTGTTTTCACACGTACTTCAGACAGTGGTCACACAGAAGCGTTCCCATAGCGGCAAAGCCATAACACAGCATCTCATTCCCTTCTCAGGAAACCAGGTTACATAACCTGAGAAAATGTTTATAATTTTAAATTATGGTTTTATATTAATATAGACTGCAGTCTTGACAAATATGTTGGCCTCAGATATCAGTGTCTTACCTTAAGGTGCTGAAGCTGTCGTCGGTCATCCTCTAGTTGTCTTTTCTTATTCTCAATTTCTGTCTGTCTTTTCCTCCTTTCCTGTGAATAAAGAAATACCTGATATTAAGAGAAATAGCTCTTAATAGCTGAAATAGCGAGTTAATACACATCCAAAGCACTAACATGATTTTGCGCTGGTGTATTGTTGTTCTGTACCACTCAGCGATTGCACTGCTCTTTGAAAGTTTTAAAACATTAGTTCTGTGAAAATAATTTCCTTTTGGTGTTTAAGGATGGCTAAAAAAGTTTTTCATAGGGATTAAATATTTTGTTGAAACCTGTGCCGTTGCTCTCAGACCAGAGCATGTGTGATAATGAGTGCCAACAATCTTCATATGTGAGAGAAAATGAGCTGAGAACAAATGTGTTCATCAAACAGTGAGACCCCAGCCAGCAGGGAGAGCATGTGTATGATGAGATACATGTGTTTTCCGGAATGATGAGATACTTAGTAGACCGTCCTCACTCAATGTCTAAGTGGTGTCCGCAAAATAATATAGTATTCATAGTCAATTGGAAACGTTTTTGGGGCAGACCTGACCTGTTGAAAAGAGATGGTATTCATCCCTCCCAGGATGGTGCTGCTCTTCTCTCTAGTAATATGGCACATTTTTCATGTTTCATATTTGAAACTTTAGAGTTCAAACATGACGATTTGGGGCTCGGGTCAGGAAGCAGACAGGCTGGCTAAACCGACTGTTTACCAGCTGTCTCACGTCACAGAAGTCGGATAAATCCCATCACAATGAGACTCTTTCACCTAGATTTCATCATATAGAGACTGTGCCTCTTCGAATTAGGAAATTAGAATTAGAAAAAAATCTAATCATAGAAAAAACGCCCAAACCCATTTGAGGGTAATTATTGAATTGATGTTCAACAAATAAAAAATAGATATAATACAGATGAACAAATTATAAAGTTGGGTTGCTGAATATATTCAACCCCAAAAGCACTTATTGTTAATGATATGATTACAGATTATAATATAGACGTGTTGTGTTTGACAGAAACCTGGCTAAAACCAGACGATAACATTACTTTAAATGAGTCAACCCCACAAGATTAATGTTATAAAAAACGAGCCACGTCTGAAAGGCAAAGGTGGAGGTGTTGCTGTAATCTATCTATAGTACTATCTTCAGAATTACTGAGAAGTCTAGATTCAAATATAATTATTTTGAAGTGTTGGTGCTTAATGTAACACTAGTGTAATCTAGTGTAAATGATAAATCAAGCTTGACATTTGTATACAGGCCACAGGGCACCATACTGTAACGTACGGACAGAGACGGTCGGATCCATGTGCAGCACTTTATTAAAACAAGCAGACATGAACACAGGCAAACACTTAAACAAAGGGGCAATCCAGAAACTCGTGATCAAAACAGGCAATGGTCGAGGCAGGCAGCACAGGTTCATAAACAGTCCAGGAAACAGGCTAAGGTCGAGAGTCCAGGGAAACACGGAATACACAAACGGAGAAAATGCTCAGAGATGTACGCTTACAGGGTAACAAGACTTCGCAAGGGACACAGGGAAAACTCAGGCTTAAATAAGGAACTCAATAACCAATAATGAAACACAGCTGAACATAATGAAACACAAAGAGTCCATGGGGAAACATAACATGGGGAGAGAGTGCCCTCTAGAGGCTCTCGAGGGCACCACGGCTGCTGATCGTCACATAACCCCCCCCTCTAAGGAGCGGCTTCCAGACGCTCCTAGAACAATCCAGGCGGGGGGCAGAGTGAAGGCGATCCCGGGGGAGGGACGGAGGGCCAGGCCCGTGCAGGGGAACGGGACCAGGACACAGGCAAGGCGGGCCTGGGCCGTGGAGCGTGGGTGACCAGGGCGGAGCAGGACGTGATGGCGGCCAGGGCGGAGCAGGACGTGAAGGCGGCCAGGGCGGAGCAGGACGTGAAGGCGGCCAGGGCGGAGCAGGACGTGAAGGCGGCCAGGGTGGAGCAGGACGTGAAGGCGGCCAGGGCGGAGCAGGACGTGAAGGCGGCCAGGGCGGAGCAGGACGTGAAGGCGGCCAGGGCGGAGCAGGACGGGATGGCGGCCAGGGCGGAGCAGGCTCAGGCAGAGACGAGGGCGGAGCAGACTCAGGTGCACACTGACCAGTGTCGCCTCCAAGGCCCCCGCAGAGTACCTAGTGCCCCCCCCCAAAAAATACTTGGGGAAATTCACGGGAGGAACCTCTGGGTGGTGAACGGGTACAGGAAAGGCCTCCCGGAGCTTCAAGGGTGCAGGCAGGGCGAGGCGCAGAGGTGGGGCCGGCAGGGCGAGGCGCAGAGGCGGGGCCGGCAGGGCAAGGCGCAGAGGCGGGGCCGGCAGGGCGAGGCGCAGAGGCGGGGCCGGCAGGGCGAGGCACAGAGGCGGGGCCGGCAGGGCGAGGCACAGAGGCGGGGCCGGCAGGGCGAGGAGTCTGGGTACGCTCACCGGGGCCTGGCGAACCGAACGAGTCCTCCTTCTCCTCCTCCTGCGGCGGCGCGTCACAGGGCTGGACAACTCACTCACTTGAACTGGAGATGCAGCGCTCACCTGAACTGGAGATTCAGCGCTCACTTGAACTGGAGATGCAGCGCTCACTTGAACTGGAGATGCAGGGCTCACTTGAACTGGAGATGCAGCGCTCACTTGAACTGGAGATGCAGCGCTCACTTGAACTGGAGATGCAGCGCTCACCTGAACTGGAGATGCAGCGCTCACTTGAACTGGAGATGCAGCGCTCACTAGAACTGGAGATTCACTCCTTTGAACTGGAGATTCAATTACTTGAACTGAAGACTCACTGGACAGACTAAATTCAACACTGGACACACTTGATTCACTCGGCTCAGCACTTGACTCACTTGACTCGGCACTCGATTCACTCAGCTCGGTATTTGACTCACTTGATTCACTCAGCTCGGCACTTGACTCACTCGAGTCGGCTGGCACGCGCTCAAACTCCGGTTCGACCCGCGACACCTCCGCTGTCTTAGGAACAGCACTTTTTTTTACAGGGCCAGTGCGGGATACGGGCTTGAGGGGTCCGACATGATGAGTGGTTTTGGCAGGAACGATATGCTTAGAAGCTCCTCTGACGGTCCTTAAGGGAGGATCAAACAGTTTAGCGAGCTGAGGCTTATGCGGCGTGCGGAGTGAGTGAGAGGAATCCGCCGCATACGAACCTCCCCGGCGCAGGGAAAAGAACAGTTCCTCGAGACCCTCCTTTTCGACTGAGGAAAGAAAGGCATGGACATCTTGGATGACATGGGGGTGAGTAAATTATCAGCAAAAGTTTTTTCAAAAGTGAACTAATCCTTTAAATACAGAGTGACAGGAAATGACAAGACAGGAAATTATGTGGCAGGAACAGGAAGTAACAGAGTTTAATATTCAGGTGATGGCTCCCTCTGGTGGACTGGTGCCTGATCAAACGTTACAGATCCCCCTCTCCTCGGACGACCCTTTGGTCAGGGTGGTTGGTGAAAATCTCTGATGAGTGTCGATTCCAAGAGGTCCTTAGTTGCTACCCACGATCTCTCCTCCGAGCCGTATCCCTCCATATCCCAAGTTATTGCATCTGACCCCTTCTCCTGCAAGAATCTAGGATCTCCCAAACTAGGTAGGCAGGAGCTCCATCGATCTCGAGCGGTGGAGGAGGTTCTTCATCAGTGGTCTCAGGGCTTGATAAGCCATGGGCTGGTTTCAGGAGGGACACATGAAAGGAAGGAGAGATGCGATAGTTATTAGGCAACTGTAAACGGTATGTGGCAGGATTAACTTGACGTACAATCTTAAAAGGGCCAACATACTTTGGACTTAATTTCTTGCAAGGGATTTCAGGCATAGGTTGCAAATGGAAAGCCACGCCATTTGACCTGGCTGATACTCAGGATAAGGACATCAGTATTGATCAGCTTGGATCTTTTGAGATCGAACAGCTCGCTGGAGATGGACATAAGCATTGTCCCAGACCTGTTCACTTCTCCCAATCCAATCATCCACAGCAGGTACATCAGATGGTTCCCCAGACCAGGGGAATAGAAGAGGCTGATAACCCAGGACACATTGGAAGGGGGTCAGATCAGTTGAAAAGTGCTTGAGGGAATTTTGGGCACACTCTGGCTATGGAAGGTATATGCTCCATGGTCAATGGAGACCATAATGGTGATGAATCCTTGAGAGTAAGGAAGATCAGTGACAAAGTCAATGGAAATGTGGGACCAGGGTCGTTGAGGAATGGGTAGTGGTTCTAGTAGTCCTGCAAGCAATTCTCAAGCTGTACATGACTGAGCGCAGATTTAACAAGCAGCTACATAGCTATTAACATCTGCAGATGATGTGGACCACCAAAATGAATTTCTGACCAAAGCGGTGGTGTGATTAATTCCAGGATGTCCATAGCAAGGGATGTTTGAAATCATTGAATTATTCTATTGCGAAGACTGGATGAAACAGATTTCCCAAGCTGGACACTCTGGAGGGGATGGCTCTTCATGTAGGACATGTTGAATCTCTTCCATAATATCCCACTGGATGGGTGTGATGATGAAGTGTGGTAAGATAGTTTCTGGTCTCATGTGTGAGTCAACAGAGTCGTGGATATGTGACAATGCATCTGTCTTGCTATTTTTGCTCCCTGGACGGTACGTGACTGAGAAATTGAAACGAAATTGAAAACAATTGGAGATAACTGAAGCCGCCGGTGTCCCAATATGGCGCTGACATCTTGGGACTTGAGTCTGCACACTTGCGTTTTCGGGACCAGACATGCGCAGTCGTGAGCAGGAAGTACAGCTGCAAAATCAAGGCCCCGCCCTCACTCTCACTGAATCAATCGCAAGCACACTCCCCTGCACTTTTCTTAAGTGGCCTCTGACTGCTCCGTTCCTCTCCAATGATGTCTGCTGATTGCAGTACCTCGTTAAAATGAGGTAAATACAATTACTAACCACATAGTCAACATAATGAAAAAAAGTCTGTTGGTCCTTCCTTGACTAGTTCGCACAGATAACCTGTCAATCATGATGTCACAGCACCGTTTT